TCTTGCAACAGCTTGCAATTAGTGCTGTTTAGCATTTAATTTGCCTTTAGTTAGGTAACAAGCGTCTATTGATTACCTGACAGGAGCAGAGTGCTGCACTAAGCACAGAGTAGGGAGAATGACAAAGGAGGCGCTGCCCCTGTTTATGGTCTGCTGGGGCTGAAAACATCTACCCTGGAAAGGAAGACGGCTAACAAATGTAAAGCAGTATCCCGTGACTGGGGACTCTCAGAATCCCAGGATGTAAGTCCTGGCACGCTACACAGAGAAAGGCAAGCTGCTGCGTCTCATCTCATGATGGGCGTGGGCATGCAGTCACCCTCTCTGGGGAAGGAAGCCTCAGCCTCTCCCTCCTCTGGAGGGTCCCAAGTGTGGTGGGACCCAGGGCAGAGGTGGTCGCTAGCCACTGGAAATCGGCCCGTCTACCACATTTGGTGACTGCCTAAGGTCTTAGGTAAAACTGCAGCCTCAGTGTGAACTTTAAGGTGAACACAAGGTGGGGATGCGGACCTACAGCGCTGGGAATGCAGAGGCCAGGGATCTGCTCCAAGCAGAGCACATGCTTAGCATTCTTGAGGCCCTGGAGTAAATGCCAAGCAGCAAAAAGCAGCAGCAGGGACTCCAAGACAGTGTAGGAGCCACCAAAGTCAGGGCCTTGGCGTGGGCGGGGCCAAAGGGCAAGTACCAGATGAAGTGCTTTCAGGGTCAGGGACACTGGCATCCCAGTGCTACCAATACGACCCCACCGAGTGGATCCAGCAGGCAGCAGGAATGTCCTGCCAAGACTCCACTGACCAAGGCCTCTGTGCCAACGTCTTGACCCCAGGGAAAGTTAAAGGCATGCTCATGGCCCTCCTCTGATGCTTTCTGCAGTCGGTCCCTGGGTCCCGGTTATGTGATGGGAGGTGCAGTATTGACCAAAAGTGGAGCTTGCAGCCCCCACACTTTGTACCCAGCTCAAAGCTGAATCAGTGGAAGCTGGGTTAAGTCAGGGAACAGTAGCCCAGGTGGGGCATGGTGGGCACAAGAGCACAGAGATGGACTCTGAGCTGCCAATGCCATCTGAAAGATACACCCCCAACACCCAGAAACAGAATGTACTACAAAGTATAAAGGGGGGCTGAGACAGGAGCACCAAGAATGGCGATTGGGCCATTCACTGATGTCTTCTGAGGACGTACAGACGAGTCAAGTCCCTGGTGACACGGAGGGAGTGGTCCTTCTGCAGAGATGGCCTTGCTCCCAATATTCTCAGACTCCTGTTCCCAGCTGGCCCGACACCATGCATATATGTAAAGATGACAACTTCAAAAAAGATACAATGCATTTTCTGGTTGGTTTTTATTTTTTAGACACACTTAGCATTCTTTGGTTTAAAAAAAAAACTGCTTTTAATAAGCACAGGCTCCTTTCCTCGTGGCAGGAGACAGATTTAAGGACTGCAGCTCAGACGCTCCATGCCAACCAGCACGCAGGAATCCAAGTGTGCGAATCAAATTGTCATTTGATGTGCAGATTTGGCAAGAGCTTAGCACGCCTTGGAGATGGGGACTGCAGGCCAATCTGTGTGGCAGGTGCTTCTGCAACTGATTCTCTTGCTGGCCCATCCCTCCTCGGCTACAAAGTCACTGGCTTCATTAGCTCCTCTGTGGAGCTGGTCGGTAGGCAATCTGACCACACAAAGGAGTCTCCCAAGGCTCTGGGCTGAGACCTCTTCACCTTGGGATGAAAGGACCCTGCTTGAGTTCCTGGATGTGGACAGAGCTGGACCTGGAACTGCAGGGGGGACTGGGCGAGGCTGCCTGCCCTGGCAGGGCCTGCTGTATTTCTGTCCATGCCTCTGCACGCACCCTCCGCTTCCTGCCCTGTTTTTAGACCCAGCTCCCACTGGGTTTGTCTCACAAGCAGGCTTTCTGCAGCCCTGAGGTTGTCTGCTCCCAATCTCTGCAGAGGTCACTCTCCACCATTCCTGTTGCGGAGGTGGGGACAGTCCCTCAGCCATAAACAGACTACAAGACTTCAGTGAACAAACGGAGGCCCAGGCTGGGAGGGCAGGCGCCTTGCCCAGTTCCAGCACCTAGACTTCAGAGCCACCTCTGCCCCCTACCAGGCCCTTTTCCACACTGATGTGGGTGATGACTCAGAGCAGAGCCCATGGAATGGAATGGTGGGTCCCCAGCACCCAGCACCAGGCCTCACAGAGTAGGTGCTCAGTAAATGCCAAGAGATGAAGAAGGGAGACAGGTGTGACCAAGGAGGGACGCCGGCAGCTTCATTGGCACCACGTGCCTCAGCTTGAGGGCAGGGGCAGAGGAGAGGTGGGAAAGGGAGCACCAGGAACAGCCACCCCGCAATCCCGCCTGGGTCCATTCAGCCAGCGACTTCCAGGCTGCACCTCAGGAATAAGCAGGGTCCATGGCATGGACAGTAAAGGAACAGACACTCAAGAACTGGGTCCAGGGCATGGGGTCATCAGGTGACGGCTCAGAAGATGCAGCCTCCACCAGCCAGCCAGTTGCAGTGGTACAGGGTGGGCAGCTTCCAGAAAGGAAAGCGGCGCTGGCAGTTGGAATGGCCTTTCACTCACTAGTCGCTGACCATGTGCCCACCTCTGACCCAGAAAGACAGAACCTTTGCTGCCCTCAGAGCATGGCTGTTCATTGAGGGACATGGCCACAGGACACCGAGGTGGGCACAAAGAGAGGACAGTAGGGAGCATGAGGGATCACAGTCCAGGGAAGGAGAGGGTCTCGCCCCAGGCGGAGGCAGCAGGGCTGGGGGCCCAGGGTGAGGAAGTGAACATCCCAAGGTGCAGAGACACAGCTGGCACAGACAGTGCCTGCAAGGTCACTAGAGACTGCACAGCATCTGGAGGCAGCAAGCTTACCAGGGACCGCGCATCCGGCTGCTGGGGATGTCATAGGCCGTTCCTTGCTGGGCAAGGCTGGACCCTGACCAAGTGCCATCCCCGTACTGCAGTGCATGCTGTGCACCGACGAGCTCAAGGTTCCAAGTGGGGAGGGAAAACTCCAGAGAACAAGGCTGGTGCCACAGAGCCCAGGCACCAAGACTCCTCCAACACCAGCTCCATCCCCAGCCCAGGAAGGTGGGGCCTGTGCGCAGTAGGGCCTGTAGCTGATTGGCATCCCTCTGCAGTGCTGTGACCACCACTGTGCACTCCTCAACCACAGAACTGAGGCCATGAGCTGGCAACAGCACCCTGGCCACCAGGCGGAGCTGGCGCAGGGCAGCTGGGTAGGGGTTTGAGCGTTGTTTAAGGGCCATGGTGGTGTCATGACCATTCTGAAAGTGAATGGGACAAAGGTGACTGTCCTCCTGCACATGACGATGCTGGGTCAGAGGAGTGTCCGGTGGAATGCCATGGAGCCCATGCTGGTCCCCACTCAGGTCAGTAACCGTGCCAGGAGGGAAAACAGGATAAGCCTCAAACACCTGGTGTCAGAGCAGGGCCCCAGCCTGGGGAGGCTGTGGTCACACACTCTGCCCAGGGCTGCAGCACCAACTCACAAGGACACATACACCCACGTCCAACCCAGACGCATCCCAGCACCTTCCTGGCATGTGAAATAAAGGACAACCACGGACGGACAGAGCTCCTAGTGGCCTGTTTTCACAGCAGCCCCCTGGGCACCCTCACCCTCTGCCTGTCCAGGCTCCTCCCAGCAGGCCCTGCTGGACTCCAGCTGCGCTCAGCACACTAACTCCTCCAGCCGCCCACGCCACCCTCACACCTGCTTCTGTGTCCTCATCACAGCTCGGAGGCAGCAGGTAGGAACTGCAGATGACACCCAGGACCCATGAATGCCGAGACCAGACTTCCAGGTGGGGAGAGACCCTGGAGATGTCTTCATGCTGAGCCTGCCTGCGCCACAGTATGGGCGGCCCCACAGGTGACTCACAGGGCAGCCAGGGAAGCCTTGGAAGGTGCAAAGCAGGTGTCTTCTCCTATGAAACAAACCACCCACAACTTCCTTTTTAGTGCAAAACCCCTTCCAAAGCGAGCTCCTGCCATAGGAGTGCCTGGGGTCCGCGGGCAAACTGCCGCCACCCAGGCTCTCCTCAGTGGCTCCCTGAGCGGGCGCCTCCCACTCCTCCACAGCCTGCTCCCCAGCTCTCTGCCGGCACTCTGGACCCTGACCTTGCCTCACATCAGGCTGACTTCTCTCCCCACTGGGACACACGTGCCTGGAGGCTGGGCCGTCTCACTATTCTGCTGCTGCTCTGCACACGGCCCAAGACAGAGCAGGTACTCAAGTATCTAGTGGATAAAAGACACCCTGAAATGAGGGGACATCAGCAGAGCAGGTGTGGGGTGGAGCGAGCCCACCATGCACTGCCTTTGGACTCCACAAGCTCCCTGCAGTGTTTCAGGTGGGTGCATGCCCCAGGGCAGACAGCAGGGCAGACAGCAGGGCAACGCAGGAGGGACACGTAATGAACCAACCAGACACGGGAGAAGGTTTCACCTGTGGCCTGGAGGAGTCACTCACCTGACAGTAAACAGGATTCTCCAGGAAGCTTTTGCTTTCTCAAGAAAAACAATGTCACCTTCCCTTCGATAAGGACCCTGGAGAGGCCTTGGAATTCATGGGGGGCAGTGCAACCCTGACTGCTTAGAGCTGTCCCTGGCAAACCCCAGGACACAGTGCTGACCGGGAGGCTGCAGAGGCGGAGGCCCGCCCCACAGGTGCATGGAAACCTCTCCTCCCTCCAGCCACCTCTTTATAAAAGGTGAAAGAGATCCTAATTATCCACACACAGGGTTGTACTCTGTGAATAAATAAAAATACACCAAAACACAGGGAGCCAAACCTTGGAAACCGTGAGTTAAACAGCCTGATTCTGGTCTCAAGGCGGCCAGTTCCCCTCTGTAATCAACCTCAAGGAATGGGACATTTATGTGGCTCACCCTCCTGTTGTCCCACAGTGCTGAGGACCCACAGGGACCATCCTCCACCCCCAGCACACGCACGACAGAAGGCAGGGCAAGTGTCTTTATTCAAGATGCAGCAAGCACAGCAACACCAGGTGGCGCTCGGTGACACCACCCAGTGCAAAAAATAGAAAAATAGAAATGAAATTTCACAGAACGCAGCCTGTCCCGGACACACAAAAAAGGCGCCACCACCTCCGCGTAGCGCCAGGTGCCCCAGCAGGAACAGAACCACCAGCCTCCCTCTGTACCTGCTTCAGACCGATTCCGCTGCAGAGCCCCTTCCCCAGCAGCGACCCCATCAGGAGTCAGAGACCACGCAGCCCCCTGTAGTAGCAGGCTGCACGCCACCTGCAGCTGGCAGCAGCCCACCTCGAGTCTCCATCGCCTCCAGCTGAGTGTGGGCCAGAAGATTCAGGTGGTGGGACAATGACACATCACCTTTGCTCCCCCAGATACTCCAAGGTGTGGGGTAGACAGACAAGGGCGGCTCGCCAAGCCCTCTGGTGAGGGAGCTCAACTTGCAGGCCAGCTCGTGGCCCTTGGTTCACAGCTCACAACCCTCGGCCCTGGGCCTCACGTACAGCTGGAACAAGCTGAATGCAAGTCAGGGGTTTTGGGAAACTGACTGCCAGCACAGGTGTGCCATTGCCCCAGGGACAAAAGGTTAGACTACAGTTCAAACGTGACTCCAGAGCATCCAGGTCTCTATGGCAGACCCTCCACTCACTGCTCTCAAGCGCTGCTGACCTCGCAGCCACGTTTCCCCACAGAAACCTCCATGGAATCCTCTGCTCTGGCCTGAGAACAGGATCTGCCCGGTGTCAGGAAGGGTCAAAGGACCCACTCCACCCAAACCAGGCAGGTTCCCCCCACCCCACGCTCTCACCATTGCAGGCCAGGCAAGAGCGGAATGGAATGGCTGTGGCTTAGGTGCCCAGACTAGAGGCAACCCTGAGATCTTCCTGCCGTTTGGGAGTGGCTCACTCTTGCTTCCCCCCAAAAGTGAACTTCTATTTGGTTTACCGACATTTATTCAGACTTCCAGTGAAAAGCTCTATAAAACACAGTAAGTGGCACAGGGTGGTATAGGCGGCACTTGGCCACCCGTGGTGCAGGCGCCACACTTAAAGTGGCACAGCCACCAGGACTGCACTCCATGAGGTTTGTACACAGCAGAGACTGCAAATGCTGAGGGCGAGACGCCGCCTGGTGGACATCCGCACCCTTCTCCGGGTTCTCCGCTGGGTTCTTCCCGTTGTTTACACGCTGCTTCCAGAGTGTGTCCAGCAAGGAATAAATGAATGCATACGGACTTTTAGCTAGCAGAGCGTCTGGGTACTGAGGGCATGCAAGTTTGCTGTTTCTCTTACTATAAATAAAAGTCAAAGGTGAGGTTGCACTTCCCCATCTTCTGTTTATACACAAGATCGAACTTCTCGTTCATGGAGACGGTGAAGATGTCCTTCCACAGCCCGACCCGCCCTGCAACAGAGCAGAGCAGAGCGTGTGTACCCACCTGCTGCTGGACCAGCTAGCAGACCAAAGGAAGCCTTGGAAATGGATCTGGAAGGCTCCAGATCTATTCCTGGACCCCTCTAAACTTGGCCTGTGGGGGCAGGATGGGCCATTGAGCTACAGCCCAGCTGGGTCCCCTGTGTTTTTGAACTACTGTGTATGGCAGGACATAAATGGAACCAAATTCCTCTGGGTCTGGGAGTGAAGTGGGCCCAGCCAGCTGCTGCCACGTACTGTGCTGGAGAGCCTCGTGGACCTGAGGCCCGCCAGGAGGGACGCTACCTCTTGTTCCTGGCTGACTCCCCAGCACCTGTAGCAGCACAGAGGGGGGCTTAGTAAACACCCAGAGAGCAGTGCCACCTGTGGGGTGCATGCGCTGTGGGTCATGTGGAGTTGGGGTCCTCAGGACACCGTGACTCCTCAGAGCTCAACAGCACTTGCCTCTGGAGAATTTGAAAAAGAAGAAAAAATCATTCAAAAGGCAGGAAATATCTTGGCAAGGAGCAAACCCTCCTGGCGGACCCAGGAGTTTCAGGAAGCACACTCAAGAGCCCTGGGGACTCAGAGGGAATGACACACTCACGGGCAGAGTGGCTTCTGAGATTAGACGGGATGCGAGAGGTCCTCAGCTCAAGCCTAAGTAGGTATCGCTCCACCTGGTGGTGGGAGCCAGACCTCTGCCGGGCAGCTGGGCGAGGCTGGGGTTGGACAGGCACTGGGCGAGGCTGGGCACTAGCAGATAAAGGCTTGGTGAAAGTCTGCTAAAAACAACAGGCTGGGCAGGTCCAAACAATTAATGGGGGCTCTGAAGTGCCGAGGGGGGATTCGGAGCTGCCACCTGGGGGAACAGGGCCCTGGCTGAGTCACGCCAAAGGACTGGCCGGCTCCGTCAGACCCTTCGGCTCTCCGCCCCTGACGTCTCCAGCAAAGCTCTGCTGTGAGCTCTGCCATGGGCAGTACCCTTGCCCTGGCAGGACCTCAGGTGGGAAGATGCAGCCCGGCAGGTGCTGAGCAAAAGCCGCACGGCAGTGTTCTCTTTGGGAATGAAAAACTATCAGCATTGGAGAGGAAAAAAATAAAAGAGAAATTGTTCGTGCTCCCTTCTAATGGCACCAAAAGGACAAAATTAGAAGCTTCTAGACCAATCACTCTACAGTTACATTTTTCCGTGACTATTTTCTCAGCCGAGGCAGCTGAGCACTGGTTGAAGGATCACCCACCTGGTTTAGGATTTGGAATCAAGACAATTTATGCTGTGATATGAATCAAATTTAAGCAATGCGGCTGGCTACCCGAGCCCTGCGCTCTCACCAGCTCAAGGAGATCTTCTGAGCAAAGAGGCAATGTGCTAAAAGGAAACAAAACCACAGAACTGAAATAAAGCGAAACCAAGGCAGACGATGACCAAGCACACAGTCAGGAGGAGCCCAGGGCACGGCGTCCCCACACGCTCACCACACACACACACATATGCACAGAGGGCCAGAACAAAACAGCAAATGCAAAACTGAAAACAGCAAACAAAGTTCAAATAATAGATACTCGTGAAGATGCAGCCAGGAATACATCAGGGTGCATTTGGTTTGGTTGGCTTCTTCCTGCAGGGCCAGCGTGGCTAGAGGTGGGGGCACACCCGGCACCACACAGCCCACAACCTGCCTCCCCTGCCTCCTACTGGAGCCGCAGCCTTCCCGGGAGGCCCTTTGTGCTTGGCTCTCTGGCCTCCCCTGGTGGTGTCGGCCCCTTTCAGACAAAGGACAGGGAGCTTTGGGCGCTGGAGGGCTGAGCCAGGTCTCTCTCCAGAGACAGCCGTGCTGGGACCCAGCCAGCTCTCATCTTCCCCACGGGCACCTCCCACACCACCTGAGGCTCCGTGTCCCCCTTGAACCTTCTCGCCCCCTGCAAGTTCCAGTTCACACTGCCACCAGCTTCAGGTCTACACCCCCACATGGATGAGAGTCATACTTACCAGTAAGGGACTTGGGTGGCCATGGCCACCACCCCGGGATTCATCCTGGGGACTTTAATGCCCAAACTCCCTACTGCCGAGCAGAGTCGGATGCCCATGGCCCTAAGGATGGGGGGGCAACGCAGGCAGCCTTGGGGGGCCTCCTGCCTGGACTACCTTCCCCATCTCCTGCGGCAAGGGCACACACCTGCCTATACACACTGCTCACCCCAGGGCTAGGTCACTCCTCACCTGTGCCACCTGTACCCCAAAGACCCTGGGACAGTGTCCCTGGGTAAAGGAAGGAAGGCAGGGCCTCCTCCCTTGGGAATTGCATGACTTGGGGCTCATCTAGCCAAGCAGAGGCTGCAGGGCCCGTCCACAGCCTTACATTTGTCCTTTCCCGGACCGAATCCATCCTGGGGGCTGCTCTGCAGGGCCCTGGATGCCAGCCCTCTGGAAGGCTCCCTGTCTGAAAGCACCTGGCCCCAACACCCCAGCAGCCGCCCACCCGCAAGCAACATGGCTCATGATCCCAGCAACGGTGGGCTCGGCACTGACTGCTCAAGCACCACGCCACCTGTGGGCACTGGCTGGCAGGTGAACACCTTGCCCTGGCAAAGCAGATGGCACAAGCCAACAAAGCACTGTTATAAATGGTCCAGAGCCCGAGGGCAGCAACAGAGGGGAGGGGGTGCCTGAGCAGGGAGGCGGGACACGTACCCCGGCCCACAGGCAGGGCCTCCGCATTGCAGCACTGGTCCACCAGCTGGTGGCAGTGCTCGCTCAGGGACTCCAGCTGGGCCTTGTCACAGGACACACCCAGGAATCTGGCCAGCTGCTCCACCATGGTCACCAGGTCCTGGAAGACAGGGCAGAGCAGAACAGCCATCAGGGCAGCACCTTCTGCTGCAGGTGGCCCCGGACCAGTGACACTCAGGACTGTCCACTGTGACCTCACTCAGTGCCCAGGTCCACCTCCTCTGGAAGGAAACAGGAGATCAGGAAGCCGCCGGGCACCCCGCTCTCCCCTGGCAGGTGTGACTCAAACCCATGCCCATGGGGACCTGGGAAGCAAAAGGGAGTCCTTCAGATTGCTGAGCACCAAACACATGTGACCTTCAGCTGCAAGAAGGAGCGAGTCCCTTCCGCCTGCCCCCAGACTGACCCCAAGAAGGACCAGAGGCCCCGTAGGCCCCCGCGCCAGCCTCCCCAGAGAAAGGCACTAGCAGGAGGCAGGACCTGCTGCCCCGCCCCACCCCCCACACGGGGACACTGCTGACACGCGCCCTGCCCTCCTCTCGCGGCCAGTCAGAACCCTGAGCATGGGCTCCTGGTGGAGACTGTGGGGCGCTGGAGGCAGCGTCCTCTCTCAAAGGCTCAGAGCAGATGAGCAAAGGGGGCCTCGGGCAGGACTTTGCCCAGCCTGGAAGGGAAAAGTCCCTGAACGCCGCAGGGGCGCTCGTGCCTCTGGAATCCCATAGCACTGGCACCCACCCAGCGGCCTCTCAGGGCCGGGTGGGCTCCCTGCCCTGCCACCTGCACTGTATGCAAAAGGAAAATCGGGGACTGCAGTGTGGCTCAGAGTGGGGCACCTGCCTGGCCCCTGGGGCCCTGGCTCCACCCAGCTCCATCCCAGAGAGCACCCACCCGCACCCAACCTGTGTGCATACCTCTCCCTCCCTCCCTCACTGTCCCTCTCCCTCAGTCTTTCCATCCTTCCCATCCCTTTCTTCATCTCTATACACCCTGACCCCACCTCCCTCCCTCACTGTCCCTCCCCCTCCCTCACTCTTCCTCTTCCTCCTTCACTGTCCCTCCCCCTCACTGTCCCTCCCCCTCCCTCACTCTTCCTCTTCCTCCTTCACTGTCCCTCCCCCTCACTGTTCCTCTCCCTCCCTCACTGTCCCTCTCACTTTCCCTCTCTCTCTGTCCCCCTCCCTCTCACTGTCCCCCTCCCTCTCCCCGTCCCCCCATAAGGAGCAGAGCACTACGGAGGAAGAAGAGATCCCGGGGAGGCTGCCCTGGCTCTGCCTGCTGGAGCATCAGCAGGAGCCTCAGGCGCACCCGTGTGGCCATCCGTCCACTCGGGGCACCTCTGCTGGCCTGCATCCAGCTAAGGCCGGCGGCTGCTCTGGGACAGTGGGGTCCCGACGCTCACCCCGCCAGCTGCACTCCCCACCCGAGACCAGGGATGGGAGCACCCCACCGTGGGCCGCAGGAAGAGGCCTGGCACCTGTCACAGCACCCTGTGTCAGGGTCACTCCCAGCACTGCTGGCACTAGCTCGCCACCTGATCCCCGTCCGGAGTGTCTGGCCACACCTGGTGAGAACACTCCGCAGAGTGGCTGCATGGGTGGGGTGGGGTGACACCCTGGACACCTGTCCCAGTGCCAGGTACTCAAAGCCTAAAAATCATGAGGTGGTGGCAGCAGGCGGGGGACGTGGGGTCCTGGGCACACAGTGAGTGCTCTGGCACGACCTTACCACTGAACATACGGGAGAAAGGCCAGTCTCGGGCTCGTGGAGTAAGAAGTGAGCAGCGCTGACCCCTGACGTGTGACCACGGACGCCCAGACCACGACTCGGCTCTGGGAGAGGCACCACCACACGACAACTGGTGGCTGCAAGTGCCACCTGCGGTGGCCTGAGGGCATCCTCCGGGGGCCTGTGTGGGGAGCTTGGGGCTCAGTGAGTGCTGGGGGCTACGAGGTGGGCTCAGGAGGAAGTAACCAGGTCACGAGGGTGCTCCCCCCAGAAGGAGCCAAAGCAGCTCTGGCAGAACTCCCGTCAGGCCTAGCCAAGGGGTCACTGCCCAGGAGCAGGCCAGAGCCCTAACTCTCGGGCCTCCTGTCCTCCCACATGCGCCTTCCTCTCCCCGCTGCCACGGGGCCTTCAGAGCCACGCCAATGCAGGCGCTTCGCCCTTGAACCGCCAAAACTGAGCTAGGCTGAGCTAGGCGCTGAGAGGCGCCCACCCATGACCCCAGCTACTCGGAGCTGAGGCAAGAGGACTGAGTTCACAGCCAGCCTCGCAATTTAGTGAGATCTCAAAAAGGTAAACAGAAACAAGTAAACAAACCATGAGCTAAACAAACGTTTTTAAGACAAAATCCCCAGCCGCGGGTATTTCATGACAGCAACTGAAACCCAGCTGACAGACGGGCCATCAAGACCAGACGAGGGCCCTGGCTCTGCCAGAACACGCTCCCCGTCAAGCACAGGCAGAAGGTCTCGACCCTGATGGGCTCAGAGTGGCACCGAGATGCCAGGAAAGGGTATCTGAGCAGCCTCGGGCGAGGTCTGCGTTCAGACTTCAGCTCAAGAGAACTTGCCCTGTTCTCCCAGGGGCTGCGGCTGAGCGCTCTCAGTGCCACCTGAGGAGCAGCTTCAGGAAGAACCTGCCGGCCGCAGCCCCCCTGCAGATGTGTGTGCAGCTGGCCGAGCTGGGGCTCTCCCTGCACCAGGAGGGAGTCCTCTCTCGCCAGCCTGGGTATGTCCCCAGTGGCACTGGGAGAAGCAGCTGGCAGACACAGGCCCAGCACCCCAGGAACCCCTCCCTAGGAACAGGCCCCGTGACAAGCGCACTGAAGAGCAGCAGCCACACCTCGGCCTTAGTCAGCCTCCCCAGAAAGGAAGCGGCTACAACGCTGGGCCAGGCTGAATGGTAGGACACGGAGCGTCCACACCGACTGGGACACCGCGGGGGTGACAGGATAAAAGCCTGCCACTCCCACAGGGCCCAAGAGTCGGACGCTGCAGGGGTTCAGAGGCAGGAAGCCAGGGTGAGGAAGGCCAGATGGTGCTCCCTCTGGAAACACTGGGCAGTGACACCGAGGTCACACACAGAAGCTGGCAAGCTGTGAGCCAGGATCTGTAGATCTGCTGTACCCAAGTTACTCCTCAGGAAAGGCACTCGGAACAGTGGACGTTACCTGAGCGGCTGCCGGCTGCCAGGCAGGCCCTGCAGCACCCTGCATGGAGATGAGGCCACACACCATGCCTGACCCGGGCCTGAGCAATCCATGTCCCGTGTCCAGGCCAGTAGTGGGGTGGCGCTTGGTCCTCGCTGCCCACCACCACCCCATCCTCACCCCAAGAGGGAGGGCAGGGCGCTTCAGACTCCTCGGCTAGACCCAGCGGCCGGCCTGCTCACCAGGACTCGGGAGGTGTGCGGGATTCCGTGAGGGGACCTGAGGGAAGCCCCAGCAGAAGCAGACGCACCACGGGCTCCTCCCTGCCAGCCAAGCGAGCCTCAAAGGCCGTCTGGACCAAGGGCCTCAGTGCCCAGGGGCACGTGCGCTGAGGACCCGGGGCTGCAGTGCCAATGCACGGTGCGCTCCCCTCCCCACGCCCACAGTGCTCTCCGCGGTTCTGTTCACAAGCAGCTCCTGATCCACCTGGAATCTTCCCGTAAGTAGGCGGTAAGGCCTGGTGTGGCCCAGTGCCCTGGGATTCCAGACCTGGCCCTCGCCACTGTCCCTCACGCTGATTCAGCCCTCAGACTTGGCTCTCCTCTCTTGGCGCCCAGTGGCCTGCCCTCCTCCCTGGCCCCAGCCTACTGCCCCTCACTCTAGACCTGTCTATGGGTCCCATCAGCTGCTGTCACGAGTAGGCCCTACGGCCTGGCCCTGTCTGTCCACTGCACCGACACCATGCCCAGCCTTGGCTCAGGCTGCGGCCCACACCTGCACCCTGTCCTTCCTCTGCTCTCCCAGGTGACAGTGTCTCCTGCCTGTCCTGCCCCAGACAAGGGACATCCCCCTGCACAGTCCTTCTCCACCCCTTCCTCTCCTGACACCTGGACTGGAGTACAGCATATGACAGACACCCCTGACCCAGGCTCCACACAGGCCATCAGCAGCCCTCCTCCATGCCTGTCACCACCACGGCAAAGTGCCCAGCCCCTAGTCACCAAGCCACACCCTCCGCACACACTGGGCTGTGGGGCAGAGATCAGGAGCACACAGGTCAGGCCGTGGCACCACTTCCTGGTTCCCAACTGCACCGCTAACCTTGCTCTCCCCTGGCTTCACGAGGCTGCTCCTTCCAGAACTGTCCAGCTCCTGACCACACCTTCTCTGCACACACCAGGGTCACGAGTAGGCCCTACAGCAGTACATACTGCTGCCTCACAAACCTGTCCCCCTCGGCTCAGATCCTACCACTGGCTCACGACTCTGCAGCGTGGGGCCTTCTGCTGGTCTCTGCAGCCCCTGGTTGGGGTGCGGTTGTCCAGCAGGGAATGAGGGCTGTCAGCCTGGTGCCCTGCTCTGCGGCCTCCCCAGGACAGGCTGGTGGCCCTCTGTAGGGGCGGACCCCAGCACCCAGACACCGACCCCACTTCTGCAGCAGCCTGGTTCTTGATGCCCACTAACCCCAAATTCATAGGGCCCAGGCCAGAGTCACTGGGGAAAAGGACAGGTGAGGGCAGGGGCTCTGGGAGGCAGACGGACACCATATCACTGGTCCCGCCAATTCTCAATCTCTGCCCAACCTCTTCCCCAGCCAAGAAGCCACCTGCAGTGCCATCTACTGGGGTCCCACAATCCCCCAAACTCAACACAGCCAAACGTGACTGCCTCACCTTCACCCAGGGCCCCTCCTCCTCCTCCGTGTTTCCTTCCAGAACTGCCAGGTCGGGTCCAGTTCCACACAGGCCTCTAGTCCAGCCTCCTCCTGCTCCAATCCCCACCACTAACCATGGGGACCCTTCTGAACACAACGGGAAACGCACCCCTCTGCTCAGCCCGGTCGCCTGGCCCTGCGCACCCCGCCCAGATTCTCCGCCAGCCCCAGGGGCAGCCACGTCCACTGGAACACACTGGGCTCGGGGCAGAGGTCAGGGGCACACAGGTCAGGCCGCGGCAGCACAGCCCACCCTCACATAGCCCCTCGCCCCAGGAGCCCAGGGTGAAAGGATGAGAGCTGTCCACCTGGGAGGGCCACGCGCTGGCTCCAGATACCTTACAGAGCTGCCATGTCAGATGACGAGCAGACCCACAGAACCCCTCCCCACCTCCGAGACCCCAACTGTAACAGACACTGGGGAAACTGCAGGGGACCAGGGAGGGACTGGGAGGGAGGGGCAGAAGAGCAGCGCCTGTCAGAGGTGAGCGCGTGGCACGTGGGTATCTGAAGAACGTTCTGGAGGGAGTAGAGCCACATAAAGACCTCAGAATGGCAGCTGGCGGAACAGGTTGGAAGAACAGCAAGGAGTCGGTGTAGTTAGACATGCAGGCAGGGGCCTGGCGACCACCCAAGGGGACAGAGCCAAGGGACATGACGCTGGCCGTGGCAGGCGCAGGAGAGCTGGCCGCATGAGGGCAACGGTCCGAAAGAAACAGATGCAGGGAGATGGACCTGGAGGGCGGCCCGGTGCAGACTCGCGTCCCACAGGTAGCCTGAGCCAGCTCCGCACACCCCGCAGCCTCCATGGGCTGCGGCCCCCAAAGCACGGCGTCCCCAGCACTCACCCGGTGCATGTCTTCGTACTTGAGGAAGAGCACATTGGCGTCCATGCGGTGCTCCCAGAACTCCTGCACGTGCTCAAACCAGGAGCCGTAGCCCACTGTGGACACAGGACATGTGAGCTCAGCTGGAGGGGATGCAGGCCACGCCCCCCCACACCACACACAGACTAGCAAGGGCAGAGCAAACTCTAGGGGTGACAGTCACCCGCGGGCAAGCCACCAGGAGCCCCTGAGCCCCATGTTCTAGGCAGGCTTCTCCTGCCACACCTGTGCCTGCGCTGCCTCTGCAGGCTGGGGACCTGGCTGGGGGTGGGGACTTGGGATAGGGACTCCAGCCTGGGAGCCTCAGCAGGAACCCTGACCCCACCAAACACATGTCAGAGAGAGTACGATGCCAGGAAAGGAAAGAGAGCCGGTCAGGGTCGCTGGTAGGGTAGAGCAGAGAGGACTCAGACACAGGACACAGACCATGCTGCGGGCTGAGTGCCGAGGGAACACAGGAGTCCTCCAGGGGTCCTTGAGGACTAAAGAGGCAGAAGCCCCAGCCAGCCCACACCGTGGTTCCGCCCAGGGGCCGAGCACTTCTGGGCTGGGCAGGGCAGGGCAGAGCACCAGAGGGGTCAGGGATGCACCACTGTGCACCAGCCACAGTACATCCCCGTGTGCACGGCCCCTGAACGCTGCCCCACCCGTCCCTCCCGGGATTTCTGCAATGCACTTCCAAGGGCACTGATGTCAGAGCTCAGCCTGGGAGCCTCGGCAGGAACCCTGACCTCCCCAAGCAGCAGGAGGCAGCTGCAGAGGGAGGGTCTGTAGAGATCCCTCCTAGCTGACCCGGGCCTCCAGGCCACCTGCGGTGGGGCAGCTGCCCCGGGCCCAGCACACGCTGGCAGACACACAGGGCCCACCTCTGCTCCTTCTACAGAAAAAGAGGTGAGTCCTGGAAAAGGGCAGTGACATCAACTGTCACAGGAGACAGGATGCAGGAACCTGGTCACCTAATCTAGGCCACTAGTTGGAACCGAGTCAAGGCTGAGCAGGTGCTGGGTGGAAGGAACGGCCAAATGACTGTGAAAAGGGCAGATGGAGGAGACCCTCTTCTGTCCAGGAGAGAAGGTGTGTGAACTCTGAAGAGCCCACATCCGCTGCAAAGAAGCCCCGGAGAGGCCAGCACAGTTGACTGGGACCGGCAGCCACGGGGCAGCCGAGAGCTCGTCCTGCTACTCCACACTGCTCCAGGAGAGGGAGCTCCGCCACACAGGGCCTCCCAGCTCCCCTCCCTCTGCAGTGCAGAGAGCCAAGACTGGCGGGAAGTCACCATGCCCCACTGTCTCCCCCCAAGAATGTCCCCACTGCCCCTCAGTGACCCTGCCAGCGTCTCCACATTGCACCTCACAGTGACCCATCCAGAGTATTCTCTGCACTCCGTGTGTCATGGTGGCCCTGTCCTGTGTCCCCAAGCAGGTGTCCCTGTCCAGCATGTTCCCCAGAATGTCAGTGACCCAGTCCACAGTGTCCCCCAGAACATGTGTCACAGCAACTGCAACCACAGATCCCCGCCTTGTGAAACAGGGAGCCCGTCAACAGAGCCCCTCCACACTGCACCCCCCCGGGCCGGGACCCTCACCCCTGGAATCTCAGGCCACAAATCCCTCGTGTGGGGCCTTTCTCAGGGACTGACGTACCCTCACACGATGCTCGACCTCTGCCATCTGTCTACCAGGGAACGGTGTCATTTTAATGCCCCGCACATGTGTTTCCAGCTTGTGTAGAACCCAGGGGAAACCTGTGTGCCCTTGTCTGCGTACCTGCCTGTCCCTGAGGTCCAGCCGAAGGCCACAAGAAGGTCACAGCTAGCTGCAGCCTTCTCCAGGGCCCATGGCCAGCGGCAGGGACACTGTAGCCTCTGGGTTGCTGTTTCTGTTCCCACCCGTCTGGTTCCCACGCAGGAAGAAGGGGTTTTGAACTGGGGCTCCCGGAAGTGCCAACAGGGTGGTGGGGAGCAGGGCTCTAGAGTCCCAGGACCCGCTGCCACGTCCCAGCCCCGGCATCTCAGCAGGCAGCCGGCGGCCCAGCCGGCAGCTCCACCACCATCGGGAGACCGGCCACCTAAGTGACCAGGGAGCTGTGAGCACTGGCACCCTCCAGGGTGACCGACCCCGGGCACTGCACCCCGATGGGGACACGTACGCTTGTCGTTCATGAACCTCCGGCAGAACTCCTGGAAAGTGCCCCGGTAGCTCATGGTCCGCAGCGAGCGGTGGAACTGGTAGTAGGACACCACCAGGTCCTTGGGGTTCCGAGCCATGTAGATGACCTGTGGGCAGAGGAACATGGTGAACGGAGGCCCCTCCCAGGCCGACCGCGCGTCCTGAACCGACACCACTCGGCCGGCCAGGGTGGGCGGGGACTCTGCCCAGAGATGGGCTCCTGCCCGCGAAGTGCTTGCAGGGTAAGTACCCAGCACCGGCTGCCCTCCTGTCCTCCAGACCACTTTAAAACAGAGGATAGGAAAGTTACAATGTGAGGCTGGCGACGAGAATTTCGGCCTCGGAATGCAGCGCGCTAGGGAGGCTGGAGGCAGGGAAGGGCGCAGGGCGGCAGCCGCCATGGGACACGCACTGCTCCGCTGCGAAGGCAGAGCCAGCTAAAACGGGTGAAGGGCTGTGTCCCCGGATGCAGGTGGCTGAGGTTCCGAGGGGAGCCCAGGCCAGTGGGTGGCGTGGTTATGGCATGACCCACAAGGAGGGCATGGCGGCTTACCTTGGAGTCTCCATTGTGGAGGTCGGAGGGCAGGAAGCGGTAGGGGAGGTGGCTCTTAATGAGGCGAGGAGACGTCAGTTCCTGCGAGCAGAGGAGAGGTTCTGGGGGAGGCACAGCCGTCGTTTGTCTTTTTTAAGGGCCCTTCCAAGGGGACCACGAGGAAGGGGTCTCCAACAGAGCAGGCCCCACCACATCACCTGGCCAATTCCCTCCTAGACACGGCCCCCATCAGGCTGGACCCTGCGGGCAGAGATGAGGGCCCCGCCCTCAGCCTGATGAGATGACTTCTCACAGCCACAGAGTCACGCCCACCCAGCCCGGAGGGGCCACCGACACCCCACCAAGGAAGGGCCTAGGACAGGCCAACAGGGCCAGCGCCAGCTCAGGCAGCAGCTCCCGAGACTGGAGCCTCCAGCCAACAGCCCCGCGCGGCCACCTGCCCCCAGCCCTTCTCCACACAGTGGGCGGGTCAATCCTGGAAGCATCTCCAGCTCCCGTGCCCATGCAGGGACCCCTTCCCTGTCACCCTACGGGCTCTCAGACCTGGGATCTGGCACCCACAGCCCCCCAGCCTCTCCCTGCTCAGGAGCCAGGATCCTGGGGCCATGGGGTCTCTGTGCCCCTGGTCCCTCTGCTCCTCTCTTTCTGGACCATTCTAAGCAGCCCCCAAGGAGACGCCAGGCCTGTCCCTTCCTGACCCACTGCCCTCTAGTGCTGATGACCATGGTAACTACTAAGACTTCCTGTCCCTTCCTGCACGAGGCCATGAGCTGATCCAGCCAGCTCCCAGCCGCAGCCCAGTGCCGGGCAGGGCTGGCTCCCAGCACGGCCACCTCCCAGCACAGACGCACTGCGCGCCTCCTGGACCAGGCAGGGAGAAGCCCACGCGGCCAGGCCCACACCTCAGGGCACAGGGGGATCTGCGTGCAGTGGGGTTTCTCTGAGAGCTGTGTTCCAGAAGGTCCACCTAGCAGGGGGCAGAAGGTCCACCTAGCAGGGGGCGGGCAGGCGAGACCAAAGCTGCAGCTGCAGTGCTCAGGGGATGGTGCCGGAATTCAAAGGTGGCTGAGAGGTGGCGTGAGGAAGACCCAGACCCGTGGGAGGACAGAGGCACAGGGACTGGAAATGCATACACACACACACTACAGACGTGTACACAGTCGTACATACACATCAGGTTCCCCCCCAGAAGCACTGGGGCTTGAACCCAGGGGCCGACTACACCAATTTCATACCCAGTCCTTAATCTCTTGTTTTTTATTTTGAGACAGGGTCTCACCCAGTCCTTTATCTCCTGTTTTTTATTTTGAGACAGGGTCTCACTAAGCTGCTGAGGCTGGCCTCCTCGTGCCTCAGCCTCCCAAGTCACTGGGACTCCAGGCTTGTGTTGCCACCCCGCTGGCTTATTTCATTTTCAAAACCACACATTTGATGACCCATCCTCCTGGCTCCTTAACAGATGGGGGGGGGGGGAGCCAGAGCCTGCTTTCCGCTGGTGGCCCCAAATCCACACCCTCCCTGCCCCCCTTGGCATCTGCTTCCGTCTCTCTCGCACGCTCCCTGGCCTCAGGGGACGGACACCCTGCTCAGGCGCAGGGTCACAGTAATGGGCTCAGACCTGTGGGTTCTCTCCTGGCCACCTGGGGCCACCTGGGCTCTCCTCTCCTCCATCCAGAGCCCCCTGAACCCCCTCAGCATCCACTGCCACGAAGCAGGCGTGACTGCAAAGCACTGCACGTGGCGCAGGCAGTACCTTGATGATGTCCAGGCCTGGCTGGGGGTACTCCAGGACCGGGAGCTGCTCGTCGATGTTCATCAGGCCGATCTCATCGGGGTCAGCCCCTTGGCTCACCAGGTAGACAACCTCCTGCAGCAGGCTCGTGCCTGGGGAGAGAGGCCAGAGGGGCACTCAGGCAAGTCGGGGCCAGCCCTGCAGGCGGGCAGCACCTGGGCCCAGGGGCAGGTTGAGTCTGAGGAGACAGCACCCCAGCCTGAGCCCCACTGCTGCGGGTGACCTGGGCGTCGCCGCTCCCTTGAGTTCAGAGGGGAAGGGTGCTCCTGCCTCTGGACCCGGAGCCTGCAGGGTTGACTTCCTCAGCTGATGCAGGAGTGCCCAGGGCCGGGGAGGGCTGCCAGCCAGGGTCTCCACACCCGCCGGGTGTCCACCGTGATCCGGCGCCCGTGGGCCACAGACTGCTGACGGACTCCCCTCACAAAGCAGCAACCCAGCATGGACAGTCCCCTGCGGGATCTGGGGACCTTCCCTCTGGGATGAACAGCACATCTCAGGTTCAGTGTCCCCGACCTAGAACCTCTCCAGCTTCCCGGTGTTCACTACGCAGGCCAGGCACCTCCTTTGCCAAGGTCCCCAGGGCCCTGGCTCCTCCACCCTGACGGGCCCCCAAGCTCCCCACCCTGGGGCCCTGGCCTCTGGCTGCTTCCCGCTCCTGCCTCAGGCACCTTTGGGAGTGCGGCCGCAGGGACCCCCCCCCCACAGCCGCCCCTACAGGCCACGCAGGCCCCCCCATGGAGCCCGGGGCAGCAGGTCCCCACATAACCCACTTCTGGACCAGCTACGCCCACAGGCCACCGAGCAGCTCAGGGCTGGGTAGAGCAGGAAGAGGTGGAGGCCAGCCTGCCCACGTGGTGCATGAGCCCCTACTCTGGGCACAGTCCTGCTCTGGCCTCCAGGGACGGGGGACACCCAGGAGCCAGCAGAGGGCCCAGAGCACTGCCAGGGAAGAGGCCGCATGTTTTCTCCAGCCTGTGTCCTCGCTCCTGGCACCTTGGTCCCGTGGGCCAGGCCACCCACTGCCACCACCCCCAGGACCCGCAGAACAGATGGGGCCACCTTCACTCTGGGGGTCCCAGTGCTGTCCCTTGTGCCTCTCCACCTCTGGCCCAGACCGCGGCCCTCGGCACCCTCCACGATGGCCTTACCCCACCCCACTCCTGCAGGCCAGTCTCGGGCAGACCCTGCTTCCTAGAGCAGCACCAAGTGCCTGGCCACAGCCCACACTGCCCACCTCAGCAAATGGCCACCCAGTGGCAACGCTGGCAGTGCTGCTACCCTGCCTCTGGCCTCAGCCAAGTCCACTGGGGCTGAGTTGACCCCTCCTCTCCCACGTGAACTGCTTCCTGCATGAGCCACGTGGCTCCATACTGCTGCCAGTGCGCCCTCCTTCACGCATGCCTTCAGTACAGCAACTGACCCGTGGAAGTGAGGGCGCCTGCCAGGCTGTGAGCCCTGGAGACTGCACACTCCCCGAGCCAAGGCAAGGTCCCAAGCTGCAAGCCTGTCTCTGCCCAAGCCCGGTCCTCCTGTGGGGCTGTCTGCATTTGGTGGTACCTGCCCGAGCCCAGTCGGCACCTCTGCCCCCTCTACGTGTCCACTGAAATGTCACCTCCCAGCAAGGGCTCCCTGACCCATCCTGCACCCCGTCACAACATCCCCACTGTGCCAGCAACCCAGGACAGCTGCAAATTCCTTCCTGTTCCCCGTCCCGCCCCACAAAGGCAGAGGCCTCTGTCCCGCTCCGGGCTGCGACAAGAGAGGCGGGACCAGGCAGGGCGGGACACAGGTCAAGCGCAGGGTACAGGCCCTGGCCTCCTGAGGGCACAAAGCCAGCTGACCTGACAAAATGACCAGAGAAAAGGAGGACTGGAGCCAGGGGTGTCCACTGACTGATCACCTGCCCACCCCAGGTGTGTGCCTAAGCACCTGCACCCGGGGCCAGGCCCAGGCTCCAGAGCCCAGCCGAGCCCTGCGGGGCCTGCCCAGGGCCACGCCGCAGTCCCCGCACGGCCCTCACCACCTCAGTCCCTCACCCAGCCGCACCGTGGGGGCTGCACAGGCTGCCCACCCCTGACCACGGTCCCTCCAGGGCCTGGGAGGCCACCTGCCCCGAGGAGGCCTCTGAGCCCCAGCAGCCTCCAGCTCCTCCAGCGCAGCAGCCCAGGCCTTCAGCAGGCTGCCCTCTGCCTGGCCATGGGGACTGACCCATGGGTCCCTGTCCTCAAGAAGGCCTCCCAGGTCTCACCAGGGGCCCGCCCTGTCCCAGAGCCCAGAACTTCCTGTCCTACCTGTCCCACGGGGTCTGACAGGGGACTCCTCCAGGAGGACAGTCCCAGGGAGAGCCACAGGCAGCTTCGGGAGCAGGACAGTGGGGCAGAGGCGCGGTGGCTGCAGCCACATGGGAACGGCTGAGGCTGACCAAACCAACGCACAGGAGGGAGCCGCAAGGGAGCTGGGCATGTGAGCAGGACCCAGCCTGAGGCCGGTGACCTGTGTGTGCCGGGGGAGTGACAGGCAGGGCCACCACTAGTCAGTGACAGAAGCCACGTACTCCCCTGGGGCCCAGTGTACGGGGGTTGGCCAGGAATTGTTGGCCAGGCTGAAGTCACTCTGAGAGTGACCAGGTGGACACTCCCGGGGTGGCAGGCAGCACACTCTGACCCTGGGACCTGGCAGACCACAGGGAGTCCCTGGGATTCAGGGGCAGAAGCGCCCAGGCCCAGGGCGGGCAGCCTGTCAGCACCCTGCAGCCCAGCAGCACCTCCCGGGAAGGACGCTTCGTCCTGGGGTCAGACCATCAGAGCAGGGACCTGGGGCCGGAGCCCGACCTGCACCCGCCTCTTCCCCAGGTGGCAGCGGGGGCTGTGAGCCGCTCTCTGCAGGAGGCCCAGTGTCCAAGGCCCCCGCTCCTCGGGGCCACCAAGGCCCAGGCGAGCCTGTCCTTAGGGTCAACTTCTCCAGGGAGGACACCGTCAACCCCAGGGTGGGCGCACCTGGGAGCAGGAGAGGAGGGCCGGGCCCGCCGCGCTCACAGACGCCCCCACCCCGCCCTCACCTGCGCCCCAGGTGCCCGTGCCCACAGCCTCTGCACCTGGTCCCCAGAGGAGGAACCGCCCCTGCCCGGCAGGCACCCCTTCATGGCCACCACCACCTGACTCCCAGAGCTCTGCGGTCAGAACTGGTCCCTGCCCTGGTCCCTGCCGGTCGCGCTCCTGGCAGCCATTTAGGCGCTCTGCCACCACGTCCTGGACAAACCTCGTCCCTCCGTCCCCCCTCCGGCCCCCCTCCGGCTCCCTCCTGCTCAGGTGCAGGTGCTGTAGGTCCAGCCCCTCCTGCGGGTCAGGGAGGCTGCCAGGCAGCTGGTCAGGCGAGGCCACACCCCATGGGGACCTGGAGGCCACATTTGCCAGGTGCTCCCTGTCGGCAGCAGCCCGAGGGGCGCACGGAGGTCCCTGAAGACGCTGCCCACCCTGCTCTCCCTCCCTCAGGGGACAGCCCACTCCTGGAGGAGGAGGCACACTGCCCACCGTCCCCAGCTCTGCAGAGTCCGCCACACAGAGGAGGACGGGGAGTGGAGGAGCAGGCAGCCCAGTGACCCTACTGCCCACCAGAGCCCGCTCACAGGCCCACCGCGGCCCGTGCCTCCCACGGGGCGGACAGCCATCCCAGCAACCTCCAGGGGCCCCCAGGACACACTAATGATGCCCGAGTCCTGCTGCTGGGGGGACGGCGCCCCACAGGTGAGGGCTGCTGACCTACAGCAGCTGGCCCCCAGGCAGCGCTAGCACCCAGGGCCAGAGCAGGACGCCTGGCCTTCCGGCCCTCAAGGGGAGGCTTCAGAGCCAGCATCTTGTCTGGTGGTCGGGACACCAGGAGGGACCTAGGGACACTTGATCCAGGGTGCAGAAAGCCGAACACACCTGCTCCCCTGCTGCCTGGGCAGCCCCGCCCACCCAGCCTCGGCCGCCCCACAGCGCCCCCTGGTGAGCCTCCCCGGCAGGGGAACAGGAGCGAGCAGCTGTCCAGCCTGGGCCCAGCAGGGAGCCTCCCGGCTCCTCACCCCGTCTCTCCTCACCCCGTGTCGGGAAGATGGAGACTCAGGACCCCGTGGACTGCAGACAGGGGCAACAGGCCCAGAGAAGGCCCGGGGCCCACCACGGCCACACAGCGGCCAGGCAAGGCCAGGACTCCGCCAGGCCACCCGGCCAGCAGCAGTGCTCCTCTCCTGTCACTGGAGAACAGCCCTCCAGGACCAGGGGAGGTGACGCCAGCGAGCTGGCCGCCTGGCTGAACCAGGAGCTCATTCTGTGACCCTGGACGCACCCCCACGAGGACCAGGAAGCCCCAGAAGACGGCAGTGACGGCCACAGCCAGCAGCCTACAATGACAAGGGACTCCCAGACACGACACCGCGGCAATCCTGGGCCGTGAACAGGTGGTGACCTCCCCAGAGGCTCTGGGCTGCCAGGCTAGGTCAGCTTCACCTGGACATCACCCTCGCGGCTGCCCAAGGTGGGAGGCGCCAGCCACAGGGCCACCTGAAGGGGTCAGCTCAGTCTGACTGTGAATCAAACAGCCACCTGTGGCTAGTGGCACCTGGGTGGCCAACCGTCCCCACTGTCACCTGAGCCACCCAGTCAGAAACACACTCTTGCCAGTGCTGTCACCCAGGGGAAGGCCCTGGTCAGGAGGCAGAGGCCGGCACCTGGTGACCACAGCCTTCTCCACAGAAGCCCTTCTTGAGAAGGCCACTGATCCCCGGGGGCTGGGGACCCAGGAAAGGACTCTGCAGGACCTGGGCCCTGACCACCTGGGAGCTAGGGTCTCCTAGACTCAGGCGCTGGAAACCCGGGGTGCCCACCCCCTGGGAAGGGGCAGCCGGTCCCGGCTACCTGCCCCGATCCAGGCGCCAACTGGGTCCACTCCCCCGGCAGTGTGTGCCAAGGTGGCCACCAGCGCATCTGGCATGGTGGGCACAGAGGACAGCAAGCGGCCACTGACGGCTGCGGGGTGAGTGACCACTCGGAGCCCTCCACCCCCGCAGGCCTCCCCAGTGGCCACCAGGGGTCAGGAGGCAGAGGCTCCCCTTGGTAAGCCACAGCGCAAGGTCCACCCACGGGTGAGCAGCAACGCTGGGCTGAAGCAGGCTCTCCATGCGGGATCGGTGCCCCACGGTCAGGAGGGGGCAGAGGGCAGGGGAGGGGAGGACGTGGCGAGGACGTACGAACAGGCACCGAAGTCCACCTGAGAGGGCTCAGCACTGACGAAAACCTCCCACGCCTCAATGCCGAGACCCCCGGGTCAATCACACTTGAGAGAAGGCCACCCCCCAGGGCCAGTGCCCTAGGGCCTCCACGACTGTCCAAAGGCACTGACCCTGGCAGGGGAGAAGCTGCCACGGACCAGGAGACCTGGACAGAGCTCGCCTCTGTCCCTTGGCGGCTGTGTGACTCTGAGCCAGCCTCCACGGAGGTCCTAAAATCAAGGTAGAGGACCCCGGCAGACTGGCCCCCCTCACCCAGCACTCAGACCTGCACCCTTCCCCAGGGTCTAGGCCCCGCGGTAAGAGCCAGCGCGTGCTGAGGACGACCCCCTGAGGCCCCGAGCTGGCACCGCCTCCGCCCCGCACAGGTGAAGGGTGACTCTGAGTGAGAGCCACCCCAAAACTCCGGCTGCTCGCTAGCACCCAGACCTGGCCCCAAGCTGCCCTGCAGCTCCCCTGGCCACAGGGAGGGCGTCCCCGGTCCTCTGCCAGGTGCACATGCTGCTTGCTCACTGCACGTCCCCAGCTCTGTGCACACATGGCAGGGCGGGGGTATGACACCGTCCCTGGACTCAGGCTGGCGAGACCCCCTCTCCTGAGGGCTTGTCCCCGATGCCACCGCCCACAAGAGGAAAGGAGCCAGGAGGAACAGAGTGGGGAGGGGGGACAGGTCAGGGAGCAGCAGCCGGCACGGTCCTGCGCAGGCGGCTCTTCCTCCCAGGAGGGTCCCAGGCCCGCGAGCTGGGCTCCGAGGGTCACTCCCCCCCCCGCAGCCTCCAACTCCACCTGTGAAATGGGGCCCCACCAGGCCACCCCCATTCTTGGGACGGACCTCTGAGACCATGGAACCAGGGCTTTGAAGCTACAGAGCTGAGCTGCCTGGTGGCGGTGTCACCCCGGCTGACCACAGGTCAGGGTACAGGGAGCCGCGGGCTGCAGACAGCTGCTGCCCACTCAAGACGGGGCTCCCTGGTGCAGCGTGAAGGGGCCTTGCGCGGGGCCTGCAGGCCTCACCTAGGGACAGAGAAGCCGGGGCTCCCCTCCTGGCTGGAGTCTCCGATGTGCTTCTGTGTGACCCCGGTTATCTGTCCTCCTCAGGAACCCAGGAAGCCCCCAGCAGAACCCGCCAGGCCCCAGCGCAGGGTCCTTGGAGTGCAGGGCTCAGCGGGGCACAGTCACAGGCCTGCCCTGCCTCAGGGGCTGCTCCGCAGCCTCCCCCTCCCCCCCAGGGAACAGGCAAGGCAGGACCATGGTCTGGTCCCACCAGCAACCCAGAACCCTAGGACTCCGTCCCAGGCAGATCCTGTCCCAAGCCAAGGTGGGACTGTCCTCAATCTTCCCCGCAGGCCTTCAGGTGAAGACTCACCCACCGCAAAGCAAAACTGCTACAGCCCAGCCCACCCCAGGGGCCAGGCCACCCGGCCCTCCACACCTGCTCCAAGGGCCACACCCTCCTCCCACAGGGACCCAGGGTTGGAGTGGAAGCGCTGGGTGGGTGGTGGAGGCCTGCCCCTGGCCACAGCAAGCTGCCCGTGCCTCTCTCTGTCCATTTCCTCTTCCCAAGAACGGCCAGGAGGGCCTGCGGGCTGTGGTCAGGCCCAGGGAACAGGGACATTCGGCAACCTGACTGCCGGGGGCCCTCGGAGCCCCTGCCACCAGCCCTCCACCGACAGCCCCTCCTGGCCTTCCCAGTGGAGCCTGGGGCGCCACAGCAGGACGCCAAGACCCAGCTCGCCCGGCTCCTGCCCGGCTCCTGCCCGGCTCCTGCCCGGCTCCTGCCCGGCTGCTGGTCCCAGGCAACCCCCAGGCTGGCCACCGGCTAAACCACACAGTGGCCCTGACTCAGACGTCTCCCCCAAACAGTGACAGCAAGGGAACCCGGGGGGTCCCCCTCTTCCCCACTCCAGCGGTCCTAGGCAAGCACCGCAGGCCTGGAGGTCCCCAGCCTGGCTCTCTGGTCCGGGTCTGCCACGCACAGCTGAGTGACCTTGCACAAGCCACCTCCCCTCTCTGAGCCTTAGTGCCCAGATTGAAAAGGTGGGGGTGACCATCTCCGCCCTCCAGACTGCTCGTGTCCACATGGGTTAACGCTGGGAACGTGACTGCCCCGGGTCCTGCGTGGGCGATGCAGGCCGTCCTGCAGCACGGGGACGCGAGGGGCACACTCGGGACACGGCTGGCCCCATCCCCCAGCGGGGCCCAGGCTGCCAAGGAGCCCGCGTCACCCGCCTCCCCAGATGGCCACCGACACTCCGGAGACTCCGCGCTCATCCCAGGCCGGCTGGATCCGGGACCAGAGAGGTTGGGTGACCCGCCCAAGGTCACACAGCCGAGCAGGAACCCGGCGGGAAGGGGAATGGGTGGCGGCGCCGCACGGGGCTGGGTGGCGGGCGCGCCGTCCAGCGGTCCCCGCCCGCCCCGGCCCCGCGGCCCTCACCCGACTTGGGGTAGGTGACGATCCACACGTCGCTGGGCCGCACCGGGAAGTTGGCGATCTCCTCCATCTTCCCGCGGCAGAAGGGCGGCAGCCGCACGCCGTGGAACTCGAAGTACTTGCTCTCGAACTCCCCCGGGGTGC